GCGCGGGCGGCCCCACGGTCACAGAGAACTGGCGTGAACCCCCGAGGGCAAGACAAGCGTTGCACCGAGCCGGAGGGCGGAGGGAAGGCTGGTGGGGCCTGCCTGCGTAGAGGCAGGGGCAGGAGCAGGCCCCGGAGCGCTCAGCTGCATGTCGGAGACAAGCAGCTGCACCCAAGACTGCCAGCAGTGGCCAGTGAGAGGGGTAGTTCTGGGGGGAACAACTGATGGGCTGTTCTTCTGCCTAAGGAACCAGTCTGCACACTCAAAAGGCAGAATGGAGACATGACCAATTTGCCCAGATTAGACGGTGCCTTAGTATAAACATGTAGAAGTGAGGCAACTAGTTAGGATCTGGAACCCACGGATCCTGAGCAAACAACACAGAGCCAAGATGGCGTAGAGAGTCTCAACATTGCACCATGTTTCTTCAGCCTCTGTGTTGATTTCTACCTGCCAATTCACAGTCATAGAATATCGTAATTTCTGCTGGCACAGACGGGTGATGTGAACAGATTCACTCAGGTCTAGCTTTTACAATTAAAAAAAAACCAAACCAAAGGAAAATAATTTCCTGAAATTTGGCACTCTGCAGGCCACCACTTGGGTGGGGTGGAACTTTGCTGTGGTGAATGCAGGCAGCATCCAGTAAAGGGCCTTTAGCATGCTTAACCCCCTTCCCTTTCTAGAAAGTTGCTATTAGAACTCATTTTGTTCTGTTCACAGGCTGTTCTTCCTTTACAGCTTCAGTGAAGTAGCTGGACCCAGACTGGGGAATAATCAAAAAGAACATTTGCAATGACAGATATCCTATACCTGGCTGCGATGCTAAATTCACATTAAAGTAATTCAACTGCATCATTTCTTTCCAGTTCACACGATCACCAAGAAGCCTATGTCTTGGCATGATAATATAGAAGAGCCGGCAGATGGTAAGAAATCTCTGAACAGCTTGTGATAATTACATAAGAAAATGACTAATAAATAAGATTTAAAAATTCCAATTAGTCTAAAAGATGACATACGCAGAAACACCCCTGTGACAATAGAAGAAAGTTAAACTCATTCATGATTTTTGTTAAACGTAAGGCAGGTTTTTTTCCACTTTAAGGCCCGTTCCCGTTACTTTTCATTATCAATACAAACTTGCATTCATGCAAAATTTTGTTTTTAGTTATCCTACTATAAAATTCTGCTTAAGAATCTAAACCTCTTTCAGGGGAAAACAAAAAAAAAAATCTAGAAATACGTTTTATATATACATGTGCCCGCTGTTGCAGATTCTACCTAACCAACGCATATGGTAAACTGCTGAAATGGCTGCTGAGTCTTGCTTTAGAGCACTAATAACATGAACCCTTATAGCAACTGCTCCCTTATTTCAAACATGCCAATTTTGTCTAAAAACCTTAATGTTCACTTAAAGTTGGCCTGCTCTAGTCAAGGATTAGCGGGGGGAAAGAAAACCAGGACAGGGAAAGGCAGCAGGTCTCAGGCAACTGAGAAAGACGACAGCTAACGTGGAGCGCTGGTTGATACTAGATGCGATACAAGAAAAGTAAGATGCTGCAATACAGCAGACAGGGATGACAGAATTAACAGAACAGTATAGGCAGGCAAATCTTGAAACCTCATCGGGGTAAGTTTGAGTAGAAATGTCACCCTGCCTTCTCTTGCAAGATCATTCACAGAAGCACAGAGGTTGCCTCCAACCTTTGCTTTCCTGCTATTGCTTGGACAGCATTAGGATGTCCCATTCTAGCACACATCCACGGATGACTGGTTTTTAAACATACTTTCTTTCATTTGTATTTGTGTCTCTTAAACCAACAGCCAAGTTTCTGAATCTTATTCACCACGCAGCACTGGAGCCAACAAAGAAATATTCAGAACCACAAACTGAAAGCCAGGAAATTGGCTGGAACACAACACCTTTGGTGAGTAGGGTGCTTAAGGACTCAGCTCTTTGCAGGATTCAGAGAGGTTCAGCCCATCACACTTAAAGATATTCATGCAAGAAAATAGTTTGTGACAAACATGGAAAACAGGAATGACTAGGAATGAGCAGAGCTGTTCATGGAGAACAAGTTTTTAAAATTTACACCTAAGAGGACTCTTCACGCTGGCATAGGCTTATGAACACAGAAACAGTAGACTTCCCCTGAGAAACTTGCATGCAAAATATCTACAATGACAGTCGACCCCAAGCATATTGCCAAATGCCACATATGTAGTCACGGCTGTTTATTAAAGCATTCAGCCATGAGAAATAGCATAGTGAGCAATGTGAAGTGACATACATAAGTACTGTGAAATGTGCTGCTGTATAGTATCTTTCAAACAAATTGCAAGCAGAAGCATAAAACTAATAATCAGCTAAGTATACCCGAGGCAGAATACATCAGTGAGGATTCATATGGGGAAGTGTGAATAAACAGGAGGAAAAGAAATCTTATTAACAAGCTGAGACATCAATCATATCTGACAAACAAATAGCTGTGACGATGACTGACTTTGTAGATTAGTGTTTCGAGAAAGGCAAATGAGGGCCTAACTAATTTTGACCTGTTACAAAGAAAACTAAGATAAATAAGAAAATAAGATAGTCTTCTGCAACTTTTCATATTACACTTCAGGTGATCTAGTTACTCATAACAAGGCTAGCAACAGACATCCCAGCAGGGCTTTACGCTGTTAGATACTGGTGGTAGGATTAGGTGGCAGGAAAGAGGCGACTAAATTTGCATGCAGGGAAGTGAGTTAAATTTATAGAGTCAGGACTCATGATGCTGTTTCATACATTAAGTTTTCTTTTTTCACCAGGTTCTACCATAATGAAATGGTGAACAGTATATTCTCAAATAAGTGGTACCCTACTCGTTTGTCACTTGGACATTTCTCAGCAGCAAGAACACTGTGCATCACTCTTCTCGGGGGGGACGACTACTAATTCTAGTAAAAGCACATGACTATTAATCATTTTTCTTTCCCAGATTCACGTGGACCGTACTGATTGCAGACTCTACTTCCCACGCCGGAGAACTGAGATCACTAAATAAATGGCTGCCATGGGGCACGGGGAGGAGCAGTCTGAGAACCTACAGTAGTAGAGTGGTAAAGCCACACAACTTAGATAGAAGCAGTTAATGACATCTAGTATGTTAGGCTCTGCTTGTTATTAGGCGAGTCTGGTAGATTTCTGGCAAGAGAAGATAGTGAGAAAAGGGAAGAGAGACCCTCAGTCTGTCCAGATTTGCAGCTTGACAATAGTTACAGAAATAAACCTATTTATAAGATTGCTGCATTTGTCCCTCTGCTGTTTCCAAACCACCCGTCTACATGAATAGTCTAAAGAACACTTTAACATCTTGACAGGCTTCAGACTTCTTATTCTGACATCGACAACATGACCCAGAACTCAAGTTTACCAAGTACATGTCAACAGTAGCTGTGGAAAAAGCTGTGAGAATGAAGGCAAAAAAGGGCAGGCTTCAGCCACCATTCGTAACACAATTAAACGTGAGTTAGATACAGTTCTGTGCAAACTATTTAATGTGTTCACACACCAAAAGTTTAAGTAGAAAACAATCCTTCAACAAAACAGACAATAAGAAGAAATTAGTGATAAGGCACTAGTTTCCACTGACTTCTTTTCTTGCCACTTGGAAGCATCCAGCTTGCTCCACGGTTAGCTGCTTGATGACAGCAGAAACATATCTTGCAACACACAGAAACATAGGAACCCCACTGGGGAGCACAGTCCTCTTAGCGTGCTCGGCTCTTCATTTTCTGCCTTGCTCTCTTTCCAGGTCTCTTCTGCAAAAAAAGGACAGATTCAGATCTTTATTTTCACGTCCTCAATCTTTGTTCTAGCTCTATAGCTTGGGGAAAATACCAAGGAGAGGATATCTGTCAGTACCTCTGGAGAAGGAGGTTTTGGGACACAGGTAGCAACAAACAGTACTTGCTAACTCCCCCACTCATTTCCCTGCTCAGACACCAAACCACCATCCTCAACTCTGTCTGCAGCTGAATTACGCTCAGCTCCCAAAGACAGACATTTTCACTTCCAGATACTGGAGGGACCCATCATGTACTCGGCTCTCCCTCCCAGACCACGGCTGGCTTCCTAGCCAACCAGGATCATTTGCATGCAACATTTTACTTACATTGAGGGCTTTTTTTCCTCCTTTTCCTGCTTTTCCTGGGCCTTTGTTGTGAGCCACTTTTGACCGGAAGCTGGATACATCATTAAAACTCTCCTTTGTGTTCCACTTTGAGCCCTTCTTCTTCCCACCAAAACCAAATTTCTGATTCTTGTATCGTCTTTTGGCATTTGGTCTGAAAAACAACCGAATATCGCCTATATTCCTTTCCTCAAGAAGCTCTCGAGAAGGCACGTGTATCTGCTGATGGACTCCTATCAGCCATAGTAAACCTTTCCCCTCTTATTGAAGAGGCAGAAATTAGCACATTTCAGTCTCCGTTCCATTCTGGCCACAGTTTTCCTCCTCTCTAGGGACAGAAAGCCACCTCAGACTTATTTTAACAAACATTAACCAGAACAGCTTTCTTGTTCCACAAAATGATCCCCTAAAAGACTGAAAAAATCAGACATTCTGCATTTAAATATCTTTCTTTTCTGGTCTCACCCCTTCTTTATCCGTTGATTTGCACTGCCTTTTTTGTTCCCCTGAGACGACGTCTGCTCTTCATCTAGAAAATCCAGCTTGTCAGAGAGACCTGCAAGAGCAAAGACGTAACAATTGCTCAGCTACCACCACAGAAAATATGAATTTTCAGTCTAAGCAAGTAATAGTAACAAGTCACCCTCACTGAAGAACAGCTACTTGGGAGGATTTTCACTGCCACTGGCCAATGATTCTGCACAGCAGCAGCCTCTCAAGCTCACTGCCCAGCACCACACATCACACTACCTTACATTGCTTACACATCACTATTCCCATTACACATCTGCTCTCTTAGACAAGTTAACTTTACCTTTCTGGTATTTCTTGACTGCATTCAACATATTTTTTTTCTCCTTTTGTCTTCTCTGCAGAATCTCAGTTTGCACCTGAGATTAGAAGCAGAATGTTAGTGTTGTTCCTTGTGTCCCATACTTTTTTCTTTTTTTTTTCCTTTTCTTTTTTTTAAGGTATCCCATCTTTTGCTCTGTCTTCCTTCAAAGCAGCTAGACAGAAGACTAGACAGATTCCATATGTTTTAGCCAGCCTCCTGTGGTCTCACTTTCTAAGCTCCTCACTCAGGCTCTAGATTCTTGTCATAGGTAGGTCCCTTTTGTAGCTCCTCCTCACCTTCTTGCCATATTTTCTCATTGCACGGAGCTGTTTCGCTTTCTCAGACCTCTCCATTGCTTCCTGTTTACTCTTAAGCTTCTGTCGAATCTTATTAGGGGATAGAAAAAACAAAATTTATCAGTAATGCAAAAGAAAATATGAGAATTTTATGATTGCTGTGCAGTCCTGAAATCAATAATTATATGAACTATCAATGAGTGTAAAAAAGGAAACGTCTCTCAATCAGTTAATGCTTTATAAGGCATAATGTTCTTTCAACTCAAGGCTGGAAGAGTTATTACAGAAACTCCTGAACTGATCTGTAGCCAAAATCTGGTTAAAAAGACAAAACTCACACAGAGACAGGACAAAGTCTTATGGAATGGCTGTAACGAAACCGCTAAACAAGAGTATCTTGTCACATCTTGTCAGTCTACTCAGGTGTATGTAGAAGACTTGATAGTTTCTTTCTTGTCATTATTAAAAGTAAAGCACTGAAGAAGAGTCAACAACCCTTCCGTACCATAGAAAACATCTTTTTCGTTCCCTCCTTGTTCACAAACATTTCTATAAGGATGCCGCATTACAAAGGATTACAAAGATTTCGACACAGATCTTCTGGATTCAGTCTGTGACTCCATGAGGAGATAAAAAAACTCCGTTCTTCAAACAGAAGCCAGCAAAAGAAGGTAACAGTAATGTGCAGAATTGACTTAAACCTCAGCACAAGCTAATTATTGATCTTCATCATCTCTAGGAAGATTCTATCAGCCATCAAAACAGTGACCACGTCATACATGAACCTCAAATTAGACTCCAGCTGATGTTTGTTTAACTTATACAATGTAGTTTTTTTTCCAAAACAAAACCAAAAATTAGGGTTCCGTTTTGAACAAAGACCACGCTCAAGAAGCAAGTTCATGACATTCTTATTTCCTACACAAATCTGACCTACTACCCATGATAGATTAATTCAATAACACAGTTTAAAATCACAGAGAACCAAAACACACTGAGTATAAACAAAGGGTGATACTTAAATAGGGAAAAAGGATCACGTTAATGCCACAGTTGACTGCAAGTCTTACGCCAAAGAGCATAAACACAGCCAACTTTATAACCACTGTCACGCATATGGAGAAAAAGTCTCCATTTTTAATATTAAATACATTGAGGACAGAATATAAGTCGTGCTTTTCTACTTTACGTTGCAACTGTTATGGAAATCCCCACATTGCAGTGAAATACCTAAAGAGGAAGAAATTTCCTGCCACAAACAAAATTTCAAACACTAACATTGTCACAGGCATTTGACAAAGAGATGAAGGGAAGTATTCACAAATCACACCTCAAAGTTAATCCCTAAAACACAGGCTAAAACCAACACATAACACAGGAAAGAAAGCCATTATTCACCGCACATACCTTCTGCATCTGTTGGTCTGATTTGGCCATCTCTGCAAAGTAATCATCTGGCCTTCTAGTAGGAACTTGGAGCTTACGCAACCTAGGTAGTGCTTCCAGGACCGCTGCCTGAGCCTGACGGTAACTAGGGAGACAGCACAGCACCAGCTCCGTCACTGGGTATCGGGCATCTCACAGCGCTGACAGAAACTCTGCTCACATAAGCTAGCTGATACTGGGATCTAACAAGCATTGATCTAGAATGATACCAACATGCTGTGCCCTACAGCATTCAGTGCTACCAAAAGCAATTTAGGTGCCAGTACGATATTAATGCTTGTATCTTGTGCATATACATTTACCTAGTTCCCAGTTACAGTTTTACGTGTTGGATTATAAAAGGCAAGGCAAAACAAGAGAACTGTAATAACACCAGAACAAATCCACAAAGAAAAATCCATATCCTGTGTTAAAGACATAGTGCTGCAACCAAGGAACTCTTTAAATAAACTTTCAGCAAAGGATGGAAGTCTGCTGCGAGGACGGAAATTATTTCCAGTCACAAGACAAGTTAAGTATACTAGCATTAATTTGTAGTTATTCTGGAAAACACTCAGAGCCATCAAATGTAAAATACATGGCCCAAGAGTGCCACAGCAACAGCCAGTGTGGCAGTCTGCAGCACAGGGCAAAACACAACTCCAAGCACGCAGCAGTATGCCAAGAGCCTACAAGAAATCTCACTTTTTGACACTTACAAGCTCATCTCTCTCTGGAAATCATTCTCAGGGTCAACAGCATCTTTGTCAGAAGCACTCTGCGAGACGGGGTCCACGACCTGGCCCGAAGTCACATCCAGCCTTTCCACCCAAGCCAGCTGCTGCTTGAATTCTGACAGGCACTGCTTCAGGCCGTCCTGTGAAAGAACCACAGCTCTGCACACCACCGCACAGAACCACCCACCCCCGAGGCCGGCCCGGCCGAACACCCAGGTCACACCGTGGGCTGCTCCTCCAAGGCCACTGGGTGATACCCCAAATCAACACCGCAGTGCAGGAACGCCGGAGGCCTGCCCTGCCCCGACACCACGGCCCCAGCCCCAGCGGGGGCTCCTCTGCCCCGCACCCGGCGCCGGGGGACGCGGGCCCCGGCCCGGGGTTTCCCCCCGAGGCCGGCCCGGCCGAACACCCAGGTCACACCGTGGGCTGCTCCTCCAAGGCCACTGGGTGATACCCCAAATCAACACCGCAGTGCAGGAACGCCGGAGGCCTGCCCTGCCCCGACACCACGGCCCCAGCCCCAGCGGGGGCTCCTCTGCCCCGCACCCGGCGCCGGGGGACGCGGGCCCCGGCCCGGGGTTTCCGCCCCGGGAAGGCCCCGCCCCGCT